GTTCCTTTTTCCCCACAGCCTCTCCAACATTTGTTGTTGGTTGATTTCTTTATGATAGCCATTCTTTTTTTTTTTTTTTTGGCAGAACCGGGGATTGAACTCAGATCCTTGCATTTGCCAGTCAAGCACTTATCCTACTGAGCCATCTCCCGGGCCTCGTGATAGCCATTCTTTCTGGGGTGTGATGATATCTCAATGTTGTTTTAATTTGCATTTGTGGATGGTTAATGATGTGGAGCATTTTTTCATATATTTATTCTCTTCTTTAATTTCATCCTCTGAGAAGCGTGTGTTCATCTCCGATGCTCATTTCTGGATTGAGTCCTTAAATTTTGGGGCCCTAGTGTTTTTTAGTTCTTTATAAATTCTAGAGAGCAGACCTTTGTCTGAGTACTTATTTGTCAAGAGTTTTTTTCAAATTTGTGGGTTGCCTTTTCACTTGGTTGGTAATTTCTTTTGACGTGAAAAATCTTCTCAGTAAGAGCAGGTCCCAGTTGTTAATTCTTTCAGCTGTTTCCTGTGCGATTTGATTTTTGTTCATAAAGTGTTTGCCTAACCCTATGTCAAGCGTTTTTCCTACTTTCTCTTCCAGGAGATTTAGTGTCTCTGCTTTAATGTTTTGATCTTTAGGCTTTACTTCTTATACTTCATTTTTATACATTTCTGCTGGATGGTTAAGACCAAGATAAACCAAGACTTATGCAACAAGAGTTGTAGCTTTTGTGTCTGATAAAGTCAGTGAAATCCCCTCAGGATTTGTCCTGAGATCTTGTACTTCAGATTGTATATCCTTTGTCAGTTTCAGCCATGTGGATGAGTCATGGCCATTGCTTGGCCAGTGTGTTCTCTGTGAAAGCCTGAGAGAATGTTTTCTCTCCATGTGACTCTCCTTAAGCATACTCTACATCATCAATTTCTTTCCTCTCTGGCCTCATAATCTCCTTGATCAGAAAATTTGGGACACTACCGAGTTATGTGACATTACAGTAGAAGTTCTCATATTTCCTGAGTCTTAATTGCCCATGGAAGGGTAGGGCCAAAATGTTGGCTTTCCTTGTGGCCCTACTGTTTCTTTAATTTTGATCTGCAAACTTAGGTTGTTAGCCCTCCAGAAGAGAAGTTTATCCATTTATTTTGTTTTATTTTATTTTTTTTCACGTCAGATGGGTAATGTGCCCATGTCGTAACAAGGTTTGAGGGAGGCACATCTCATGCATTATAAGATATGAACACCCAATCATCACGCTCATAAACCAAATGATTAGAGAAGCTTATTGTTATTACCATACAACCTAGGCTGTTAGGCTTATCCTCACCATCTGTCTGAATATCAAACATCTTAGGCATAATATGAAACAGGTATCTTTATTTTTCTTTTTTCCCCCAATAATTTTATTGATAAATAGCAATGAGACAGTTTCAAATCAAATTGGTAGGACAGTTTGAATAATCACCCATTGTATACATTCTTCCTAGTAGTTAATTGCTGTACAAGATGCGGACATGATATCCTATTTACAAACACCATTAGAACAAATCACTCTATTCTTTA